CCCCAGCACCACATGCCAGCCAGCCCCGCCCCCTGGTGGGCTGAGCTGGCCACACACACACACACACACACACACATAAATAAATAAAATTTTTTAATAAATAAATAAAAATTATAATTTCCAGCGCAACCCACTTGGGTCCCCCTCCTGTCCTTCTCTTGGACAGGAGCTTTCTTTCCCCCAATAAATATATTCTGCTCTTTAAAAAACCAATTATAATTTCTTTATTTCCTTTCTACCCATTTTTAAATTCTTTATTCTATCTTATTCTTCCGTGCATAGGACTTTTGATTTTGCATTAGTACTTTTGATTTCTTATTCTTAAAGGATGCCAGGGGCCAGAGCTCCATCTGCTTGTGGTTGTGTTAGGTGAGCGAGGGCACTGACTGATGGAAATTGTCCTTCTAGCTGATCTAAAGGAAATACAGGAAGACCGGGTGGTTTGTCTTGTTTGGTTAAAACACCATCATCTTTTGGTGGTCACGTTTGTTTTGGAAAATCGGGACATCCACAAGGTAATGAAGCTTACAGCAGAGTGTGACATTGCCCTGCTTTGTGAATGTGAGTCTGATAAACAGAAGTTATCATTGAGAGTCGTCAGGAACATACACATCCCATTTTGCTCTTATAATTGTACAGGTGACCTGCAACTTTAACTTGGCTCGGGGGCAATCTGGAAGATCCAATTGCTACAAGCATGATCAGCAGGCAGGCTTGAATAATGGTGGTGGCCCCTAAAATGGTCAGAGCTGGGTAAAATTAGTCGGTGCTTAGAAGTAGGTTTTTGTCTCAAATAGTAACCTTTTCAGTATATTGTCCCAGGATAGCAGGTGGCATTTAAGAGCATGCCAACCGCTGCCTGTTTTGTGAATAAGGAACCTAATTATGTTTTATCAGATTATTTTAGTGTACTTTTGCAATTCATAGTCAGCCCATATACATGCCACATCTAGGTTCCTTTTACATCCCGTCCCCGCCCTGCCCATCTTCTCCATCCACAGACACCTTTCTTGTCCTTTTGGAGAAACAAGTGTTTTGTTCAGTATTCTTTTGTATTGCTTTTCAGTCTCAATTTCATTACCTTCTCTCATACTTTTAATTTCTCTCCTTCTATTAGTTGCATATTTGGATTGTTCTTGTCTCTCTAGGATCTGGAGATGCATCACTTGGTTATTTGTTAGGGATTGCTCTATTCTTTTTATGTGTGCGTTTACAGCTATAATCTTCCCTGGAAGGACTGCTTTAATCATACCTCATTGTGGTTTTTTTTTTAACATTTTTTTTTTTTTATGTGTGTGTGCATGTGTGGCCAGCTCAGCCCACCAGGGGGCGGGCTGGCTGGCATGTGGTGCTGGGGGATTGAACCGCGGTCCCTGTGCTTTGGCTAAGCTTGTTCCAAGTAGGTGCTTTAGACCACTGAGCCATCTCTCCAGCCCCTGCCTAAATATCTTGTGCCTTTTATTATGTTTCTTTGTTTATCTCTTCAAATATTTTGAGCATTTGGTTTTTAAGTCTTTGTCTATAGCTTTTTCAGTGTCCAGGAGATCAGCTTTTGGGAAGTTAGTGATTTGGGGAAAGGGCATCTTTTGCCATGTTTTG